TTTATTTATTTATTTTTTTTAACTTTTCTAGCGTCAGCCCAGATTTTGCACAAGCCTCATCCAATGCCACTGAATTCTTCCCATAATTTATTTGATGCTAATCAAAACATCCAAAAAAAAAATCATGTTTAGCAGCTTTGAGGAGCAGCGGAGCTCCGAACCGGCCTGCCTCAGTGAGATGGTTTATGTTTTGCGTCTCTCGGACTCATGTGGCTGAGAGCTTTTGGGCAGAGCCGCCATGTGCAGCCCTGGCCCTGACAGTAATCAGCCAATGAATAATGAACACACACACACACACACACACACACACACAAACCTGCCATTGGCAGCTGTTTGGAATCTTTGTTTGTGTGCTAACTCTATCATTCGACTGCAGCTGCATGCCTGCCTGTAGCAATTATTCTCCTGCTAAATAAGAGCCAGCACCAGGAGGTGTGTGTGTGTGTGTGTGTGTGTGTGTGTGTGTGTGTTGGTACACATTATTATCTTACTCAAAGGATAGCCGCAAGATGCATTGTGAGTGTATGTTGAGGACCACATGTTTGAACTGAGTAATATAAACCTGCTCTGGGGCCATAACATGAGCCTAAAGGGGTGCATTTCTCTCTCTCTCTCACACACACACACACACACACACACACACACACACACACACACACACACACACACACATACACACACACAAATCATWATGTTTGTGTATCAGAAATACATGTCTGAATCTGTGCATATGTGAATACTGAGACACTTTTAGCTCCATAGAACCCACCTTGTGATAACGTTTTGATTCTGCTAGCTGTTTTTATACTATATTCATGTTTTTAGACATTTATTTTTATCACTGCRATAATTTAAAGAAGACTTTTGGCTTCTGTTAGCTTAATAAACTTCAGGTCACTTTAACGGTTAACTTTATCACATTAAAAACTGTTTGACCCTGTTCGTGATGACTGGAGCTCTTTAAAACCACGTTCTTGATGTGAATGTGTGTTAAGATTTAAAACCCCTATRAACTGTCAAAGGCAGAAAAAGCAAATGGAAAATTTAATCATATCACCAGTTTGACTGTCTCAGTTAATTTGGGGGATATTAGAAAAACAAATCTAATTTCTGTTTCAAAGGATGCTCCTTTTTTAAATCAGTATCTAATTTGTTGTTCATTGACCTTAAAGTTCATAGTTGTATTRTTCATGTTTTCCTCTTCCAGGCTGCCCATAATTAAGACAAATGCAGACCGGTTTGCAGCCAGGACAGCAGCCCAGACTGCAAATGAAATAAATTACTGGCAGAAGCGAAGCCAGTGCTGATTTCACAGTCTCATAAATGTGGTGGAAGAACACAATGAAGTCAGGTCAGCTGTGTGAACGGGAAAAAACTCTGGCATGCCTCCAGGTTTTTTTTTTTTTGTTGTTGTTTTTTTTGCAAAACACGCATCCTTCCTATAGCTCTGCTGAGCTTCCAGTAACAAACAGCTGGTTGGACCATATGCCTGTATTTATGTCTGAGATTCAACAAACACTCTGATTTTACTGCTGAAAAATTAATATACCTCAAAATAAAAACTTATCGCTTTGTCACCMAACACTTAACTGTTTTTAACAATGTAAGACCTAAATAAATAACCTGAATAAAATTCTGTAAGATGGAAACTGAGAACTCTTACAAAGGATATGTCCATAATAATATTAGTCGGGAGTACTTATTACTTACCTTTCACCATTTACTTTCCTCCTGAYTGGACACCCCAGGTGCCACCCCAATGTTTGTGTGTGGCATATGAGAAACCAGTTTTTTGCTAGCTGGATTGGCTTTCAGAATGTCATTGGGATTGCTCTTGGCTACCACTAAACCAAATTGCTACTCAGTATTTGTAAAAGAGGCTGAGTTACAGCCATTTAAAGTTCGCTGCGGAGGCCATCTTGAAATTTCAAATCCCAGAGTAGCACCATTGGCTGTGTCTCAAATTATGGGTTGCAGCCTACGTCGGCCTCATTTTTCGGCTGCTTGTGTTGCTGCCCTGCGCTGTCTAAATTTGTAGGCACCTACTTGTGCAGTCGACAAATATGGCTGACAAAACCCTGAAAACGTATATGCTGCGTCTGAGTATCCCATGGGGCAGATGGTATCCCAGCATTCCTTGCTTCATCAGCAAATTAAACAAAACAACAAAGACGCCAGAGGTTTTCTTAAATTTTATGGTGAAATCTTTTTTCTATGGCAGCGTTCGGAAACTTATCCTGGATCAAAGAATTTGTTTTTAAATGAAAGTTTAGCAATTCAGCAGATTAAAATTTTTGTTGCAATGAGATATTAAATAAGTTACAAGTACTAAAACTGGAGCTAAACCCAAATTATTCATGTTTTTTATTTATTTACTTGTGACTTTTTCTAATAAACTCAGTTTTGTGAAGTTATACCTTTTAAGAACAACTGAAGTGATGTGATATAAAATGTATCACTGGGGCAGCACGCAGACTTACATCTTCTGTAGACTAGACCGTCTCTTTTCACAGCAGTTTATGCAGCCGACCCGAGCAGCCTGCGGCCATGGTGGGCCGCGGTCTATGTCGACTGCAACCCATGAAACACAGCCATCAAAAACAACGTGGCCACCCCAATGCCGCCCCATTCTAAAATGTCTAGCTCCRCCCCTGATTACTGTGACAAAGCTAGTTCCTGAGAATATTGTAATATGATTTCAATACTATAGACCCCATCTTTACCAGAAATCAAATAAGACTTCGAACATCAGCTGGTTCCTCCATTATCTATACCCGCTTCTTCCTTTTCAGTGTCGCGGGGGTCACTGGTGCCCATATCCAGCAGTCACAGTGCGAGGGGCGGGGTACACCCTGGACAGGTCGCAAGTCCATCACATCATCCATCCATCCATCCATCCAT